GGACGGAGTGGTTGGACTCGTTGTGTACTGGGTCCAGTACCTTGTCCAGTGTGCAGTTGGGTGCATTGAGGGGCTTGCTGCTCGAGTTCGCTGACGTGTTTAGCAGGCACAAGTACGACATTGGCTGCACAGACCTGTTGCGCCACCACATAGAGACTGGGGACGCGGCCCCTATTCGACAGAATCCCTTCCGGCTCAGTCCAGCCGAGAAGGAGCATGTGCAGTCGGCAGTAAATGACATGTTGGCGGCCGACATCATTGCGCCCTCTTCCAGTCCGTGGGGTGCTCCTATCGTCTTGGTTAAAAAACAGGATGGATCCCTGCGGTTCTGTGTCGATTTCCGCCGCCTAAACAAAATATCAATGGCCGATGCGTATCCGCTCCCCAGGATGGATGAGTCGCTGGATGCCTTGGCAGGAGCACAGTTTTTTTCGACGCTCGATTTGCTTTCGGGATTTTGGCAATTGCCCCTCGATGACGAATCAAAACCAAAAACCGCTTTCCGGACACCGGGAGGCCTATTTGAGTTCAACCGATTGCCCATGGGTTTACATTCCGCTCCTGCCACGTTCCAGAGGCTCATGGAATTGGTTTTGTCAGGCCTCCAATGGGACACCTGTTTGATTTACCTCGATGATATCATCGTTTTCAGCCGAACTTTTGAGGAGCATCTCCAGCGACTGAGAGCAGTGTTTGTCAGGATGCGTTCCGCGAAGCTAAAGTTTAAACCGGCTAAATGTTTTCTGCTTCGGGAATCGGTCAGGTATTTGGGCCATATCGTTAGCCGTTCGGGGATCTCGACGGACCCTGCTAAGACGCAATGCGTCGGCTCATGGCCAACACCGACCTCTGTTACTGAAGTCCGCAGCTTCATAGGATTTGCCTCCTATTACCGTCGTTTTGTCAAGCAGTTTGCCACCATAGCCAGGCCCCTGCACGCTTTGACGGCTAAAGGGGTGCGGTTTCACTGGGGGCCGGAGGAGGAGGCCGCGTTCTGCTCCCTTCGTGACGCCTTGGTGCAGGCTCCCCCCTTGTGTTACCCCGATTTCACGCAACCGTTTGTGCTCGACACGGATGCCAGTAACACGGGTATCGGGGGAGTGCTCTCACAGGTGGTCGGGGGGGTCGAACGGGTGGTCGCCTACGGTAGCAGGGTTCTGTCCCCCGCGGAACAACGCTACTGCGTGACACGGCGTGAATTGCTGGCGATTGTGTTTTTAATACAGCAATTCAGGCCGTATCTGTATGGCCGTCACTTTACGGTTCGCACGGACCATGCGGCTCTCCAATACGCTATGCAGGTGGCGCAGCCATCCGGCCAATTGTCCCGATGGTTGGAGGTCCTTCAGGACTACCAATTCACGACGATTTACCGCAAGGGGTTGCGCCACTCGAATGCGGATGCATTGTCACGGTTGCCGACGCGTACGGAATGCGCATGTCAGTTAGGATCGGCGCGATGTAAACCCTCTGTCGCTGTCCTCGCGGAAGTGGTGCTAGCCGCCACCGATACTACGGGGGTCGACGCCCCCACGGGGAGGGACTCGCTGTTAGCATTGCCTCTCATCGAGTGGGGCCGTCTGCAAATGGCCGACAGCTCCCTACTCGCGCTACGTCGGAAGGTTGACGTTCCCGAGGGTGGGGAAACGCGGGTCGGTTCCTGGGTGTGCAGACAGGGCCTCTTGATGAAGTGGGACTCCATGTCCCGGCGTCACATGCTTGTGGTGCCGGTTGCTGTACGGGGTAAGGTCGTCCTGGCTGCCCATGAACGACTCATGCATCTGGGGTTTCACAAAACGCTCGCCCTCATTCAGCGAGACTACTATTGGCCGGGGATGGGCAACGACGTGGCGAACATTCTTAAGGGGTGTGTAGGGTGCGCTAAAAGAAAACCGCCACCAATAGCGGCTAATCCACCGCTGCAATCCATTCAAGTTTCGCGCACGAACGAATTGGTCGCGCTAGACATCTTGGGGCCCTTTCCCACTACACCTCGGGGAAATAAGTTCCTGCTGGTTGGCGTAGAGTACTTCACCCGCTGGCCCATGGCGTGGCCACTCGCCAACCAGTCGGCTGCGGCAGTGGCGGACGCCTTTGTCCAAGGTTACGTTTTGGACAAAGGCGCCCCCGAACGCTTGCTGACGGATCAGGGGAAAAACTTTTCGAGTGTTTTGTTGCGCGAGGTGTGCGACCTGTTGGGTACAAAGAAAGTACGTACCTCCCCGTACCACCCGCAGACTGACGGTATGGTTGAACGTCTGAACAGGACGATTACGTCTATGCTGTGCCAACAGGTATGCGACGACCAGGTGGATTGGGACTTACAGGTACCGGGGGTACTAGCGGCCTATCGGATGGCACCCCATGCGGCGACGGGGTTTTCTCCATTTTTTCTGATGTATGGGCGGGAGGCTGATCCGGCCATGGACGTCCAACTGGGGATTTCACAGCCACGTGCAAAATCTAAATTGGCAGACCATATTAAGTTTAACATCGCCAAATTGGCTGAGGCGCGTGAGGCTGCGAGATTGAATTCACGCTCTCGGCAGATCGCGAACGAGCGATTGCATGAACGGAAGGTGCATACGCACAATTGGGAACCGGGCGATAAGGCCTGGCTGCATTGTCCACACGCACCGTTGGCTACGTCCCCCAAACTGTTGAGACCATGGAGGGGACCGGTGGAAATTGTGCGGGTTGCACGACCCCAGAGTATACAGATTAAATGGGGAAAACGCCGTTGGTACGTGCACCCCTCCCGACTGAAACCCTACGCGGTGCCGCGTGACCCCTGGTTGTGCCGTGACGACCGAGCGTGTGATGTGACCGTCGACTCGGGGTGGGATGTGTCGCAGGCTGATCCTCACGTGTCTCCACCTGACCCACCCCCAGGTGTCTCGGACCTGACGGCTGTTGACCGTCGGGAACCGGAACCCCGCGGCTCACGCGGAGCCCCGATGCCTGGCCCATGCCTTCCTGAACTGCCGGCGCCGCCGGATGGCCAACTGCGTCCTGTGCCGTACGACGGTCCGGCAAGGCGGACTCGGGCAAGGACGCAACACTTTTCATGAAAAAAAAAAAAAATAAATAAATCTTTTTTTTATTAAAGCCCGACCTCGTTGCCGGCTTTTCCCTCTGCCGGGGTAATGTCCCGTTCAAGGGACGCTCGGACACATTGGGACGCTGCATGAGTCGGAGAGAAAAGAAGAGAAAATGAATAAAGAAATTTTTTTTTATTGTTATTCTTTCCGCATACACAGTATCGTTGCCACTCGCCGGATTGTGCATATTGTTCTTGTTGTGGGTGGGGCGGTTGCTGGGTTTTGCGGATTGCGGTGTTCATGTTGTGTTGTTAGGGTTTTGTTGTTATGTTACGGGGCACACATAGGGGTGAAGGGGTGTTGTATATTTTATTAGCAGCCGGGTCAGCTGCGAGCTATGTGGTAGGGGGTGATGTAGTGGTGGTATTGACGTGCGCTGACAGTGATGGATCACGGGGCGCGGGGTTGGGCACGCGATGTGGGCGTGGCATGGACGCGCGCGCCGGTGGTAAGGTGCGCTCACACAAGCTGGGGAAAAGAGGATCGTAGCGAGTGCGCAGTGATTGGTCAGATAAGTGGGTGCTCTCAGCGACGTCCGCAGGAGGGGTATAAAGGGAGACGCGCGAGAGCACTCGTGGTCAGTGTTAACCAGTTGAAGACCGAAGACGGGGTGGAGGAGGTAGTGGCCCGAGACCCCTAGTCCCGCCGTCCTTGTGAGGACCGGGGCCCTGTGTGGCTCGGAGCCGAGACTGGGGGACCCGTAGTCCGACGCCCGTGTGGGTCGGGACGGTGGTACCCAGAGCCGAGACGGGCACCCCCGGCTGGGTGTGTCCCGGAAGGCTACGGGGCGTAAGAGCCCGTGTCAGTATAGCTGAGTGGGTGTTTGTCACCCGTGTAGCTGAGTGGGTGTTAGTCACCCGTGTAGCTGAGTGGGTGTGAGTCACCCGAGTAGCTAAGTGGGTGTCAGTCACCCGTGCAACGAAGTGGGTGTTAGTCACCCGTGTAGCTGAGTGGGTGTGAGTCACCCGAGTAGCTAAGTGGGTGTTAGTCACCCGTGCGACGAAGTGGGTGTTAGTCACCCGTGTAGCTGAGTGGGTGTGAGTCACCCGAGTAGCTAAGTGGGTGTTAGTCACCCGTGCAACGAAGTGGGTGTGAGTCACCCGAGTAGCTAAGTGGGTGTTAGTCACCCGTGCAACGAAGTGGGTGTTAGTCATCCGTGTAACTACAAGTTGGTGAAAATAAAGAGTGTGCTACCCGTCAACACGTCTCCCGCCGAGTTACTACTTTACATTTGTATGAAACAGAAACAACGACAATAGTTGTCTTGTGCATAGACTTCTCCTTGCCATAGGAATGCGGAATTTCCACCACTGGCTCAGGGCTGTAAACAGGCAATTCTCATTTGAACAGGAAATCACTTTGCCTTTGAGAGACAAGGAAGGCCCTTGGTTGACTGCCTGCAATACGGTAATTTTGGGAAAAAAGTTGATGGATCAGATAGATTTGTGAAACTCCTGAACCACTGGGCTAGCAAGGGGCCGAGGAGATAGCAGCACAGCACTGTGGCTATTGAACGCATCTGTGCAGAATCTTGTTTTTCCTTCTATGGGTGGGTTTTTATTTGGGTTCTCTGGTTTCCTGCCATACACAGAGCACTCTTTAAAAAAAGAAACTGTCCAAACCTTCCCGTGTAGAATCCGCCTGAAAATATTTTTTACATTCAGTGAGGCTTTCTTGATGAACCTGGCGACTTGAGTTTGATTTCCTGCCACGAATAACTTCAGTGGCGAGTGGAATCTGAATCGGTCCCAAGTACCCCCCCCTTCACCGCGCTGACCATTTTGGTAAAGCATAGTTCAAATAATAACTGACACAAGGTGCGGAGGCCTTCATACAACAATGCATTGACAGAGGACCTTCATTATTACTGTAACAGTAATTTTACAATTGTTGGCTTACCTCCGGATGGCCTTGTAGCAGATGGTGACCAATAGGATGATGGCTAAGAGAATCACGCCACCCACCACCAGGAAAACGACCAATTCCAGCCACTGGCTGTCTTCTATCACAGGCCCTCTGGTTGGGTTTGGTACTAAATTGAAAACAGAATAAACATGCATGGAGTAAGAATCACAGACTGTGCTTTTGAAGGGCTGGGGATTGAGCATGGTTACAGCAGTGAAAGTTAAAAAAATAACTTAGCTTAAGCACGTAAACATCGCGCAGTCTAAATGACTGAAAATTGTGGACGACGGTACATTTTGCGTTGTGGCCTCGTGGAAGGTCGAATGTGGTTTCTATTCACCTGCCATGACCGGCCACACCTGTTGTGGTGCATTGCCGTGGATCTCAACGTCCCAAATCCCAACTCGCCAACACTCGCCAAATCCACCGTTACTTACTTTGGCACAGCGCGGTAATGCTTGTGTGTATTCCCGTGGTTTTTCAGCTGTCAAGTGGCATATTGCGAGAGCCTTGTTACAAGTTCCGCACGTCAGTAACAAAATTAATTATGGCCTAAAACCGAGGGAGTTCACCTCATCAATCACGTATGTGGTGCCTTGTCAATAAGCTAACCACACTTTTAGCTGTGCTGGGAAATCCATTTATGTAATTAAATCAGAGAGAAAAAAATCATGGAATTCCTGCTTCAGGAGCATTTCCCATGGTAGAAACATTCTTACCAATTAGGGTACAGGCACTGAAATGTGATGTCCCCTGCTGACCTGTCAGCCCTCTCTCAGCAGCTGAACCAATCAACATTTCCACTTCTTTGTTTCAGTATTCAAATGCACAGTATATGAAGACTATAGACAACAAAAACAAATTAGGCGTTGTTGTTAAATTCCATATTTTTGAACTTATACGATACATCCATGTCCACAATAAATTGCATATATGCATGCAGGGAGATGCACTTTATTAACAAAATGCTTTAAAAGGTATCCAAATCTTGCCGCATCAATTGCACAGAGATTACAGTGATCATGGGAATCGTACATTTGAGATGTGGAATTACACTCAGCACATCGTGCGCATTCAAATGCGCTTTTTGCGGCCGTCTGGGGCTCTCTTTCCTTCCGATATTAGGAAGCAACTGGATTTATGCACTTTTAAATGTAGATAAAAAAAACAAGTTTCTTTAGAACTGCGTTTTGTGTTTAATGTGTTGTCCTCACCCCGCACCTCCAATTAGCACGGTTGGCTACGTACGGTGCGAAAGTTCAACATACATACTTACATAAAGCATACATACGAAACACGCGCCGACAAACGGAGATACACACAACAACAAACATTAAGGAAGCGTTGCATTTCCTTTCGCAAACAATAAATAAAACAATTGCATTAATTATATTCACACAGCGAAATAATAGAGTGAAATATCGTCGTTTTAAAGCAAAAGTATTCTCACTTTAAGTGTGCTGTGTGCACACTGGATTGAACTGTTCTTAAAAAAAATTACCTCCCAGGTCTAACAGGAATTATATTTTGCAATGATCCACTCTTTAAACAATATTACCACAGAGTGAACATTTATTTTAGGCTGGATTAAAACAATCTTTGCTACCCCACTAAATATGATTAAGTGACTTATCTGGTCTGGGCCCATGGACTTCCCGTGCATGTGTAGACACATATGCCTCAAACACAACCCTCATATCGCCATGTGCCAAGTGCTGTTAGCCAGCGCATATTAAAGCCAGCATGGCACATGTAGGGATGGTGTGGTCAGGTCCAACTTCAACTACAAAATTAGGTGCTAATATAAGACCAAGTCATCCTCAGGGAGGCCCAGGACAAGTTCAGATATCACCGATGGTTAGCCATGGCTGAGAATCAATCTGGTAGTAATCTGGTTGAGAGAACAGTACGCTAACCACTCTGCCACTGCTCTCCAAGGCACATGGCACACACGTTGGTAATGCATAATAACGTGCATTGGGTGGCGCAATAGACCTGGGTTTTATCGCTGTGCAGGGTGCCTTTTCCGTGTGTACTCTGTATGTTCTACCCCTGTGATGCGTGGATCCCTCTGGGATTCCCCATTCACTCCCACAGCTAGAACACCCAACGTCAACGGTGGTTGCCAAATATCCCAATGTAGCAGGACCCGAGTGAAATTGTATATTCGAAATCAGGGTCGCTTTCCCAGATAAATAAACCGGACTGATGATTATTTTGGGTTGTGTATTATAGAGTTTCGTGTCGAACGAGGACCCATATTAACTCGAGTGGGTCCTTGCCTATTGCATCTGCCAGTTCACCAGCTCAAGCAAGCCTGGCTCTGCTGACGAGACACTGAAGGTTTAACTCGGTCCAGAGTTTCCTCGTGCTAACCAATGCTGCCGAAGTCACACGCTCCACACCAAAGCCGTGCGGCAGATACGTTCAGGGGGCATACTGGCTGCCGGTTGATTTTGTCACTTTAAATTCTTCACAATGCCACTCGTGATGGTTGTGCGTTATTCTCTTCGATTATTCTCATAATACACGGATGCGTTGGAATCGGGTTGAATACTCACGGGGCAATGGCGGTGGTTCCCTGGGCTTGTGTTTGCGCAGAGGCGGTGGTGGAGGCAGCGGGGGCGGCGGACTGATCATGCACAGGCTCCGGCAAATGCCGGCACTGTCGCCACCGCTCTCCGTCCTGGAGAATTCTCGGCCACCCGGCGACCTCTGTGCCTGCTCAGCTTTAACCACCTTGGAACAGCAGCAGAAGCAGAAGCAGCAGCAGCAGAAGCAGCAGCAGCAGAAGCAGCAGCAGCAGAAGCAGCAGAAGCAGCAGCAGCAGCAGAAGCAGCAGCAGAAGCAGAAGCAGCAGCAGCAGCAGCAGAAGCAGCAGCAGAAGCAGCAGCAGCAGCAGCAGCAGAAGAGGTCATGTTGGGCCCTGCGCCACCAAATGTCCTTGGCACCACCCAAGTTCACCCTCCGCTGTGGTGAATCACTGTCACGGTGGCTCCCCATTATGACAGCTATAGTGCCCCCCCCCCCCACCCATCAGATAGGAAAGAATAATTATATTAACAGCAGTAAGGAGTCGTAGCATGGATGGTCGTGGGAAGAGATTTTAGACTGGAGGGGCAGTAGAGAAGAAGCTACAATCTCCCAATGAGTGGTGCTTCACGCATAGTTTTGAGAGAGGTCTTGGTCATTCAAGCAGAGAGCACGTGGTGAGGAGTGCAGAGAGACACAAGAGGGGTGAGAGATAGACTTACCAGGTTCGCGAGAGCGTCCTGTAACACACCTCGTAGCTAGTCGGTAACGGTTTACGCGAATTGTTAAGGCTTTGATTGGCTGAACAGCCCAGCCTCGGAGCATCAAACAGTTTCAAAACACGTTATGGCCGTGTTGGGTTTCAGTGTCACCATGGACAGCTGCGGCGTCGCGAGGGCCCTTCCATGCCCATGAGATGACCGTGATCGTGCAAATTCAGCGCCCGTGTTGATGTCTAGGATGAGCAACCTTTAATGCGAATCTGTGAAGTGTGATCACAATGACTGTATGGCTGCTATTACCAACAGCAGTAGCATAGTTGTTACTCACTTGGAAAACTGCGACCAATACGGCTGCAGTGAAGTGAGCCGACACGACGGGCCAAGAGACATGTCTGGGATCCCAAGCCAGCATTCCGACAGTGGGCAGGAGTCTGGACATTCAGAAAGTATAGTTACTCGAGACAACAACAGCCACAACAATAACAAAGCCGGACCAACAACGTCAGGAACATCCATCCAACGCGTCCTGATTGCACAAAAACAAGGAGGTCTGTGGAAAAGCCATAATGGAATTGCAGAACAGGCATCGCGTTTCCCCTCCGCTACAAATCACTTCAAATCGTACATCCACATGCAGCAGTCACGGTTTCGTGTCCCTACAGTGTTCCTCGTAGCCCAGGCAGATGCTGCCCATTACTCATTTCGTTTGAAAGGGTGCAGCCCACCTCCCTATCCACTGCTGGATGAGACCAGAAGCCCCTCTGGGGACACCTGGGATATCGATCCACTGCACTTTTGTCTGGATCTCAATTGCCCCTGGGATGTCTCGCGTTGTTCCAGTCTACGCGATAGGGACTCACGAACGGCGGCAATACGACTCGTACGGCTGAATTCGCACGCCGTGCAGGTTGTCGGGGTTGTCTTGCCATACTTCACCACTCTGGTCTGTGCGGGTTGGTGAAGGCGGGGGTTACAGACGTACACACGCAGATGTAATTTAATATGCGGCGTCATACATCCCACGTGCCGTCAACTTAGTCAAGAAGCCAGCTCCTCGTGGCGAGGGGAGTCAGCGCCGATACCATCTTCTTACTGGGCTCACGATGCTACATTCCCAAAGCCACTCTCCTTCTGCCGCTGCTCATGAGTGCTGTCAGATGAAGCCAGGGGCCTGCCAGTGGCGAGGGCTATGGTACAACGCAGTCGACCGATAACCCAGCTTCCCTTGGAAGCCTTGCGGTCTTAATGGGCTCTTCCGCGGTTACCCATTAAGAAATAAGCAAACAACAGACTCCTTCTCATAGCTGTCCCTCCACATTAGAAACTAAAATAAAAAATTTGGGACCAGTCACGAGACTCAATGTCTCACCAGCAGGGTGAGGATTGCTTGTCACAATGCTAGTGGCATGCCACGTGTTAATAGGCAGGGACCCATTCCTGTGTGGCTGATGGCATGTGTGAAATACACTTTTTTATTTTGTATGTGGTGGGACAACTATGTAAAGGAGTGAAGCGAGTCGGTAGTTTAATTCTCCACAATGACGCTCATCGTGTTGTGGTTAAACACACGGTACCGATCTCCCCACAACGCGGCACATCTCCCACGTACCACTAGCAAAAGTGCGAAGGCGCCGTGACGCCACAGAACGAGTCCGTGAAACATGCAGGGATTGCGCTTGCGTGCGCCTAATGTAACCTAGTGGGAAGCGATGCCACACAATGAACAACCAATGGAAAGCGTCATTATGGGCTCTCGCATGGGAACGAACTTTATGGGTTTGAGCATGGGATCTTTCACGGGGTCGAGAGTTGAATCAAAATCGCTAATATTTATATCGATTCGTGTTCCGTAACTCCTTATATGGACAATTGCCTTATTTGGGCATAACACACCTAATTTTCAATATTTCACGAACTCATTCTATCCTTTAGAGCACCGCGTGGCTTCTCCCCCAGAGGGATTCATCTCCTCGCGCTCACCTCCCTCACCCAGTGAGGCGAGGAATCCCACTCCCATCCAGCAACAGCGGGCGCGGTGGCGGAATGTGCTAACTCGGCCAAGCGAGCTTGATTTCTAGCAAAGGCTCACTGACATTGGTGACGAGTTATGGATATGTTCTTTATTTTCTATGTATTACGTTTCTTTACCCAGGAAAGCCTGGGTAAACAAGCGTCATGAAGTCACGTAGAATGGAAATAATAAAATAATAAAAATAAACATAATAAGATACAATTCTCACGACATTTCGGCCACAACGCAAGCAGCCGTCCTCAGGTAAAGAACAGGGTTGTCGGAAAGACAGCGTTCTAATGAACACTGCTAAGCTTAACTTATGTTTATTTTTATTAGAACGTTGTCTTTCCGACAGCCCTGTTCTTCACCTGAGGACGGCTGCTTGCGTTGTGGTCGAAACGTCGTGAGAATTTGATCTTATTATGTTTATTTGTATTATTTTATTATTTCCCTTCTACGTGACTTTACCGAAAGAACCAAGAATATGCAGTCACGAAAGCTTTAAATCGAAAAATAAAAAGCGTCATGAACGAGTTGTATTGACCCCGAAGGGCTGATTCGCCGAGTCAAACCTCGACCTTCTGACCGCAAGCCTCCCGTGATCCCGCTGAGCCACGTGGCCAGTGGACATCTCGATACGGTGGCTGTGAGCCCCAAAACCTGTCGTGACGTTTTCAGGAGGGTCCTGCCAATTTATCTCAGTAGGGGGGGGGGGTCGATAATTGCTACGTATATTCCAATGGAAATTTTTTCCGGGAAAAGTTTTTAATTGGGATCAGGATGCCGTCACACAATGGCCTTACTCTTGCGAATGACGCCACGGGATATTTAACGTCCACTCTGAAGCAGATGGCACAGATATTTTATGAATAAACCTTTACTGCCACCCCCCTTCACCAACCCACATTGACAAATGCAGTGATGTTTAGTCAAACAACTTCTATGACTGACACGCAGTGGCGAGACGTTCATCCAGCAGGGGATTAAGATGATTGCAAATGTATAATTTGTATAATTATATAAGCGCTAATCTAAACAGACATGTGCTTTTCAGCTTACACCATGAGTATACACCAGATATATATAAGCTGCATCACATACGCCTGCAATCTAAATAAATAATGTATAAATACATTCATTTTGTTTTTACATCTCCGCAAAAACATTATTTATATGCATGCTATCATGCCTTGTCCTATCGGTCTTCAATACCAACCATTATCGACCAGCATTTATTTTAACAATTTATCTCCCGACCAATTTCGATAGATATTTAGTAATCCACCAGCAGTCCGGCTTGTTGTTACAATGTTATTAGATATTACTGGCAAGAGCTTTACTTCCCAACGACAACGCAAACAATAAATAAAGTATAAATAAAAACCTCAATGCATGGTCGTGGATGGTCAATAACCCATGATGACGTGTTGTTAGACGTTAAAACATCGAGTTTAGTCTCACGATCCTGCTACGATGGGTGACCCTCCACGTGTGGAACAGCTGTTGCGGGCTGCAGCAGGGAGCTGCACTGTCAGTCGAGGGCAGAACAACGAAATCCATCGTTGTGTTGTACCATACTACATACCACACCGTCTATGCTCCCCACCGTCACCCACCTGCACTGGCCAGCATGGTGAAGTATGGTCAAACAACACCGACGACATTGAAACGTGTTCTCAAAGGCTACAAAATATGTTTCGTGCAAATAATTGTCTCTGGGCCATTGAAATACAATAAATAGTAATTATCTTAAGGGCTCAAAGCTCAAACGTGTGCACAGAGTTGGTTCCAGAGTGGCATAGACGCCTCTACCACACTGCACGCAACTGCACGCCGGGTTATGTAATGTTGATGCCGATAGGGCCTTTGCTTTTAAATATCTGGCAGCTTACCAGCGTTGGTTTAAAATCTGAATATTTATACTGGAGGAATCCAATGCGCTATGAAGGTCTTTTTCACAGATGTCCAGGAGTGGCACGTGAGAGCGTTACCTCACCAGGTAAAGCCCACCCAGCCATTAGCTTCTTATTCAGAAGCGACCTGGCCACAAATGATAGCTCAAAGAAATGGCTTATCATGTGGATATGTATTGCAGCAAAATCAACTAAACGCAAGTTTAAGCAAACGTGACTCTAATCGTTACACTTGTTTAATTAAACTCGTACACTGTAATTGCACTTGTTTAATTACACTAGTATAATTACACGTGTTTATCCAGGAAAGCCTCGCCGAGTCTCATGACTTGGTCACGGAGGGAGGGGGGGGTCCTGCCAAGTTTTGGCAGGAGGCGGCGATGATCGCGAGAGATATGCAATCCCAATTGAGTAATTTTGCGCGTAATCGTTCGAATGTTGACGAATGCAGACCACATGACGCCAGCACACAAAGGCCTCTCGCGAGCGACGTGAGGGCACCTTTAGCGGCGTCCACTGTGAAGCAGTGAATACACGGGGCGCGAGTGACCAGGGAAACCTCTGGCATCCAACCGGGATCCCTGCAACAGAAGCGGCGAACGCGCTCTGGCTGGGTGCCTCTGCTGATGAGACGCTGAATATTGAAACGGGTCCAACGCTTTCTTACGTAAAAAAAAAACAACGCTGCTGAAAAATGTACCCCTAGAACATCGTGTGGCCGATGGGGGGTGTGTTGAAAGATACTTTGTTTCATGCGGAGCTATTGTGGTTCTCGGTTCGCAACTAGAGCGTGGGGTTTGATCTGAAGTGCGCTCACATCTCAATCACTTTAGATCAGTGGTTCTTAATCTGGGGTGCACGCACCCCCTGGGAGGTGCGAAACACGGCCAGATTTTTTTTTAAGGTAAATCATCGAAACACATTAACCACGGGCATGTAAGTACAACGACTTTGTTTCATCAAACCGGTGTATTCATTAATATCATTTTAAAAAATGTACGATTGAGAATCAAAGGGGTGCAAGGCTGCAGTAAAGGTTAAGAACCACTGCTTCAGAGGCGGCAACGTTTACACGCAGAGGCATGAATGTTGGACACTTTGCATCAGAGATGGCAAAAGAGTGAAGGAAACACCCCGTGAGCTAAGACACGGGGAGTTTGTAAGGATTCGATGAAAACATCAACTTTTCTTAACGGACACCTTTAAATAAATTAAAAGTTCAATTAACAACAACAAAGATCTCCTGCGTCTCCTACACAGGCTCTTGGGCAAGTGCTGTTAGCGAGCGCCTATTGACACGACGCACCAGCGCAGGAGTTGCTATGGGCAGAGCCACGCCCAGACACACAAGAAGACGACACTCGTGCCAGACAAGCAACAGCACGCGCGTTGTGATTGTTCACTCGAGTATTTCACTTTCTTTCTGAACTGCAGGCCGTTAAAATAGCAGTACTTTAAACTGGCTCGCATACATAGACCTCATACCCCCCCCCTATAGCCTGAAGAGACTCGCGGGGCAAGTGCTGTTAGCGAGCAGGAACGGCACACGAGAGGGTGGGTGGGTGGTCAGCACCACGTCCGGCCGCCTTTTTCTCCCCAGTGACGAAATTTATACACGGCACCAGGTACTCAGTTGAGGTTGAGTCGATCTAGGGGAGACCCAGGCCAGGTTCAGATAATCATCACTGGTGTTGGTCGTTGAGCGGGAATCAAACTCAGGTCTCCCGAGTTCGTATCGCAGCGGCACAGCGTTACGCACACATGTAGAAGCACACAGGCGCACAAACACAGACGTCCAAACACAGACGTACTAACACACAAACACAGACGTACTAACACACACACTGATACACGCACATCGGAGACAACGCGCTCTCAGCGCGCGTGGTCGCGGCAAAGTTATCCGTCCCTTGCGCACAGCGAGGAAGACACCGAGCCCCTACTTCCTCCTGCAGCATCTCCCCGCTTACTGGCTGGGCTGCGAGGGAAGAGGCTCCTGGATGCGTCAACTCGTCCGCCAGGTCCCAGCGGCATGGGGCGTCCGCGGCTGTTGCGCCTCGCCGCGATCAGCAGCAGTGTCCGACGCGCTGGGTGCGGGACCTCCGGCAGCCGCCTGCGCGGCCCTGGCAGCGGCGTGGCGCTGACTCCATCGGGCGCATCATCTCCGCTGCGCCGAGCCGCCGCCGCCGCCACGACCAAGACAGAACCCACCCAAAACAAACCGGCAAAACAAACGATGCGCGGAAACCCGAGACCAAACGCACACACAACACGCAAAATCAAAATCAAGAAATTGAATCTAGAGGGCCAGAGGATACGCCATCCCTCGGTGCGGTCAAGCACTCGCGAAAGCACAAAGCGAGCAAACAACAAATGCGAGTGAGCTTCCACAAACGCGCCGCGCACCCCGGCGCGGCTTAGCCACGCGTGTCACCTTGGGGAACCATCAATTATTCAGATGGTTCATGCTCTCCCACCCCGCCTTCTCCCGAGCATCCACCACCCCTCCGCCCTCCCTCCTCCCTGTGCGCGCAGAGATGGGGAGGCGAGACGGATGCTCGGGGATGATGCGGGGTGTCGGCGAGGTGATGTGATGACATGCAGGCAAGAGTTGGCGGGGCAGGAGGAGGATGGAGATGGCACGCTGCAGGGAACGCGAAAAATTGCCGGACAGTTGGCATCGTGCAGCCCATTGTGCCATGGAGATCACGCGGTGGAGAGTGCAAAAGTTGCGAGTTCAAATCCATTACCAGGGCGTGTACTTTGAGAATCGCATTAGAAGTTAGAAGCAATTATATCTGGAGTAATCATTTTCAAATATGTGTCAATGCAAAGGAGGCCTCTCCACGCCGTGTCAGTCATGACGTTGTTTGACCATACTTCACCAATATGGTCATTTTTGGTTCGTAAAGGAGTGCCCAGGTCAGATTAATATATCACTCACCACCAATGTTCACCGTGATCGAGAATTTAACTCAGATGGCATGAGTCAAAGTGCACTGCGCAAATCACTTCTTCCTCCGAATGAGTGATTAGCTATGCCATTATAGTACTGCCCTTGCCATAGGAACATGGAAATGGCCACCAATGGGGTCAGTATTCCGAAAGGAGATAAGGACCATTTAATACTCCTTTGTAAATATAGAAATACTGGCGTGGGTGGTGGGGCAAGTGGTTAGTTCCTGAACACGGCTCACATCAGTGGCGAGAGATATCTGAATCAGGCTTCGCCACCCCCTTCACCAACCCAGCAATGAATTGACTCAGGGCCGTATATGTTGTTTACTTGAACTACTGTACTGCATTAACTCATTCATTGCATTCGTTCATTCATTCATTTATAATTCGAGACCGGGAAAGGCGAGTGGTCTCTTCAGGCTGAGATGATGTCTCGGGGCACGCATCACTTCCCGTTCCCAGACAGCGAACGGGCAAGAGAGAATTGCAATTGAGCGTGCGCTGAGCTCGTTCAGTTTGGATCACTTCCCCGTGTTCTAAACACAACTGTGAGAAATCGCATTCAGATGCCCCGTTCATCGTATGAGTGTGCAAATGGTCATACAAAAATACAAAAATACAAAAATAATCAAACCACATTTCTACAAGTAGATTATATATGCATACACGTCGAGACAATTCTCAACCCATCGTTGAATGAGAGTTTCCCCATGCCGTGCGGGTAGTGGGGAGACCATACTTAAATTCTAGATTTGAAGCTTTCGTGACTGCAAGGATTCATACTCTTAGTTTTTTCGGTAAAGTCACGTAGGTAAAAAATAAAATTTAAATTAATAAAAATAAAATAATAAAAATCACGACGTTTCGGAAGCAACACAAGTCTCTGTCATCAAGTGGGATCAGTCACAGGTGGGACCGTCACAGCCAGATTTGCTGGCTGTGATGGTCCCACCTGATGACGGAGACTTGTGTTGCCTCCGAAACGTCGTGATTTTTATTATTTGATTTTTATTAATTTAAATTTCATTTTTTACCTACGTGACTTTACCGAAAAACTAAGAGTATGAGACCATACTTCACCAGCTGGTCAGTGTGAGTCTAGTACACCAATATTAAAGCTCTACAGCCACCCAATTTGCGAAATAGCGCAATTAAGAGTGTGGCCAGGAGCTGAGGTCGTGTTGCTTTATGCTTGACCTGGTCCGCAAGCCCAACAGGAAAACAGCGACCCATGCAGCCTCATCCACTACCCCACACCCATTTGTACAGCTCTATCGAGGCCATGCGATATGGTCGCGTGCTGTTAAAAATCAATACATTCACAGTAAATTATTTGGTAAAAGGGGGTCATGTAGCTAGCGAAATGTTGAAAACACTTTATCTCGGCATCTCACTTGATGTTTAGCTCTTATTCCTTATTTAAAATGGTATTCAGCCACAATTATTAAAGGTTAAAGCGATTTGTTGCGCACGTCAATTGGATGCACGGATGCAGCCGGGTTCACTCCGTGCTCCAAGAGAAACACTGTGGCTCTAATTGCAAAGACAACGTAAACAGAGTTCTTCCTTGCTTAATTGACACGGTGTTCATCTCATGTTTACATCGCGGAGGCAGCGGTGGAAAAACTGCCATATCGTTATTGTGGGGAGAGTCTATTCATGTGGCGGTCACTGTTGACTTCCTCACAAGGTGGTAGCGTCTTCTTGGTTCTTTCGGTAAAGTCACGTAGAAGGGAAATAATAAAATAATAAAAATAAAACATAATAAAATAATTCTCACGACGTTTCGGCCACAACGCAAGCAGCCGTCCTCAGGTGAAGAACAGATCTGTCGGAAAGACAGCGTCATTCAGACACTGTCTTTCCGACAGACCTGTTCTTCACCTGAGGACGGCTGCTTGAACATCTGGAATGGAATGCTCCTAATCCCATCAGACCTCAAAAGCCAAGCAGATTTTGAGCCTGTCTCGTCACATGCACGTTTTATATGTTTGGTTCTTTCGGTAAAGTCACGTAGAAGGGAAATGATTGCTTGTGTTGCAATTGAAACGTCGTGAGAATTTTATTGCTTTATTTTTATTATTTTATAATTTCCCTTCTACGTGACTTTACCGAAAGAACCAAGAAGATGAATCCGTGCAGTCACGAAAACTTTAAATCGAAATTTAAGGTGGTACCGATTTCATTGACCCCGGCGAGATGATGGTCTGAGTCGATCCCCAACCAGGCTTTGCTGTTTGGTCGGTCAAGCAGCAATCAGAATTACAGAGGCAACGAGAAGCACCTCCCACTGCAATCGGCAATGACATTACCACCAGCAGCTACTCTCCGTTTGCATGAATTGAACAACATCCATTGTTTTCTTGTTCATGTTTTTGTTTTCTGTTTTTTTGCGGTTGCACCCGATTCAAGAGTCGAATGGCTCACAGGGCTATACCTAATAAATGAACTTGAACTTGAACTAACATACATTGTTTTAGCCGCTTGTTCTTCTCCGGTGGTTTCAGAAAAAAAGTAAACACAGTGAAGACACACACGAACAATTATATGCAATTATTGTGAATAGGCAGAGTCTTAAGCATACCCATTACAATTATATGCACAATCCCTTGTTGATCTCGTCAAGGAGCATAAACTATAATGTAAACTCCGGTCATTCTCGCAGTGGCTTTTGGCTGACCATCGAATAGAGACGGTCACTGCATCGCGCGCTTTCAGATGCGCTTCTGTGGTCGTTTGGAACACTTGCGATATTAGGAAGCCACTGGAGCTATACACTTTTAAATCTATATTGAAAACTAATTTCTTTAGAAGTGATGTTTGTGTTTAGTTTGTTGTCCTTCCCCCGCACCTCCGATTAGCACGGTTGGCTACGTACGGTGCGAAAGAAGTTCAACATGCCTAAACCCTTCTTCTTGGTTCTTTCGGTAAAGTCACGTAGAATGGAAATAATAAAGTAATAAAACATAATGAAATAATTCTCACGACGTTTCGGCCACAACGTAAGCAGCCGTCCTCAGGTGGAGAGCAGGTCTGTCGAGGAGACAGAGTCTGTGGCCGAAACGTCGTGAGAATTATTTTATGTTTTATTTTTATTATTTTATTATTTCCATTCTACGTGACTTTACCGAAAGAACCAAGAAGATGAATCCCTGCAGTCACGAAAGCTTTAAATCGAAATGCTTACACCCATTACTGCGACATTTTTTGCATGGCCATCAGAAATTTTCATAAAAAATAAACAATTTTTCACTGGCACAACCATTCATAGGAGCGGAGGATATGTCACGGAGCGGCACATTCAGAGCCGTGTCTGCGGTTCAGCGTTTCCGACACCGTCGTGGCGCATTCAAAACGGCTCAAGCGCACGGCGGCCTGGTCCGTGGAGACAGTCACGGCCGCTGCCGCAGCTGCCCGCGTTCGTGCGCGTTCGGCAGCCGTTTGCAGAGAGCCTCTTCACGGCGAACCACCGGAGCTCGCGCGAAGGCCAGGCCAGAGCTGATAAATCTTGCTCAGGAATGGGACGAGCCGGCGTTGCAGTCTTTCATTCGGGTTGACTCACCAATGTCAGCGTGCTGTCTTTTTGTAGATCGAAGAACTCCATTGATTTAATGTTGGGCCTCGGCAATTTTGGCAGGATTCCCTAAGCTCTTTGGGATGGGGATGTTTTTTTTTTGGGCAGATGCGCAGTTGCCCGGACACACTGACAACGCGGGTTAAATCTCATCTCAATTCTGTCACGATTGTAGTTATTGTGTGAAGGGGAAAACGCAGGTGTTCTTGTGATGCCATTGTGTGTACACCTGCCTCCGTCTGGGTTCGTTAAAATCAATGTAGTGGAACCGGTATTGCACCTTCAGTTACTCACATTTTACCAATACACAATCAATTAACACCAATTAAGTGTTATGCACATCAATGTTTTGCTTATGTTTAAAAATACGCATAAGATATTGGATGTACAAGTCGCAACTCGGGTAAATTTAACTTGTCTCCCATGGTGAAGTTAGTACTAACTTGGTGGTGAAAGCACAATTGACAATGCACAAATCCTACTTCCACACCCTTCAGTGATGATTTAGCCAAGAAAATATCACGTGTTTCATCCACCCAGTCATGTTATATACAACAATAATAATATAATTGGCTTAGCTACCAAAAATGTAAGCTACACTAGTAATAGAACAGCTAATAACATTCACTGGTTTA